CAAGTTATAAATTCATGATAACATGGACCCTTTACATTATATAAATTATAAACCAAACAAATTTTTATTCAAAAGCTAGATGGAGTACATAAAAATTTATTTTTTTTAAAACTTGTAAACAATAATTTTACGGCGAAAAAATAAAATTGATCAATGAAAACTTAAAGATACATGAATTTTAAATAATTATTTTAATTTATTAAAACGTTGTTATTTTTTTGTAATTCATTTTAATTGATATTTTAAAAATTAATAAACATCTTTTAGACCAAATAGAAATATGGATATTTTTTAAAAATAAAATAATTTAGAAACAATTTAATTAGTTAAACTCAAGTTAGAAATAATAAAGTAGCATGTAATAATTTTAATTTATAATTAATATTATATTAAGGGGTAGAGGATTTATAAGTCAAACGTTGGAAATATATTATTTAATTTTTTAATTTTAAAAATAGTATTAAAATTTTATTGATATATGAAATAATTTTTGAAGGTTTAAATATGAATACACGTTTCGCTAGGATTCACGCAAGGATTGGGATGTATATAATGGGTTTCGAGTAATGTGAGTGACTTCAGTAAAAGTAATTTATAAGTGATGTGAGTGGTTGTGAGAAATAAGAAAGAAAGTCCGGTGCTGTGTGAGAAAGAAAGAAAAAAGAAAGACCGAAGATACGAAAAGAAAAAAAAAGAGAGAGAGAGCAAACCCATGGCGGGAAGTCCATTTTATGCTGTCCGTTGCGGTATCGCTTCTGCTCCCACAGAGGAAGATCTCGTTTTGCTTTTATTCTTCAAAGAAGCTTCACGAAAAACGCTGCCCGTTATTGCCAAATGCATATAAAAACCCTTGATACCGCTATAGCGATGAGCCGTGGAATATTTCTCAACGAACGGCGCGGTTAAATGGTTACTTCTATGTTTTTAACCAAGTTGAAGACAAGGAGCGCAAACAGAGTAAGAGACCAACCTTCTGGTACCTGGACAGGCGGAATTCTAAGACATTCCCTTGCCATAATATTACGTATGTGAGAATATTTGTCTTTGATGCAAAAGGGTGAAGCGCTTTCTTCCTCGAAAATTGGCCATGGACTATGTACGAGTTCTCGTTAAAAGAGAAAGGGTAAGTAATTTGTTTCGATTTCTGATAGGAAATTTAGGGTTTTTATTCTTTGGTTTTATTAAATCTTTTAATGATAGTAAATTTAGTGTTTTTATTTCTTTGCGTTTATAATCTTTTCTGGATTAGTAAATTAGGGTTTTATTTTCTGTTATAATCTTTTTGATTAGAATTATAGGGTTTTTATTTTCTTTCTGGTTTATAATATGTCTTAAAATCTGTTAAGGGGTTTGAGGTTTCTAAAATCTGTGCGTATTAATTTTGCAAGTTAAAGGGAGATATTATGTCCTTTGTAAATCAAATGTGAAGAATAAGCTCCAACAAGGAACGGCCGCAACTTTTACTTTTCTAGAGGGAAGAAGAGAAAATCTTCTGTGAGAAAGAAGAAGAGAACAGACAACTTCAAAGAAAGATGCGACAGACAATTCTGACTTCTGTAAACCCTAAACCCTAGCTGCATCTTTTCAAATGTGGTTTTGTGGTTTGATTGCGAGAGCAGTTTTCCAATCAAATGCAGAAGATAGAAGCTCCAATAAATGTACAGATATTGGTTTTAGATGTAGCTTCTCCGTCCAGTCAAACTGATAGGAAAATCTCCATCTTGGTTGATACAATATTATGTTATGATTACGTATGGAGAACTGTAGAACAATGTGTAGTCAGTCACCAGGTTTTTGTTAAACATTTTCAGGCTATTTGGGTGTATTGGTAGCCAATTGGCTTGGGGAAGAGGATCCTGAAAATGTTAAACTTTTCCCGGCTCTTTTGCTAGTAAAATTTTTTGTTATTATACAAAAAACAACACTATTTGAATTTGTTGCTTACTCTTTTTATGTTTTACATATGTTCTGAAAAAATTTTAGAAGCACTTCTAATGAAAGAAGTTCATATTAATTAAAACTTGACTACTTAACTTAATCGCTGCTATTTGTAAAGAATTGGCATGATGAGCGGTATTGATGGCCACTGAAAATTTCCACTGTTTAGTTGTATGTCATTGTTAAAGCCAAACAAGCCGTTAAATACTACTTTACGATTTTCTAAAAAAAAAAAAAAAAAAGAAAAGCTGAAACAATTAATTTATTAATCATTTTTGCCTGCCATTCTGTTAAATGAGGAAAAGGGAGCCCAACAAGAAAATAAGACTGAAAATAATGTTTTTTCATATCAGTGTACAGCTACGCATATTATTGTGCTATATTACAGTCTATATGATAATAGATTGATCAGGCGATGATTTAGGTAGACTTTCGTTGATTTGTATTAATAGATATAAGTTTGTTAGTACCTGATGAGAACTTAACACAGGTTATATGTATTATAATGAAAGAGAATTTCGGTTGTCTTGATATTTATAGTGTACTTAAAAAATGTTATGAAATTAAAAAATAGAAACAGGGCAAAATTAAAAATATGTAAAGATTATTGAAATTTTTCAACTAGATAAATAGAAAACGGAGAAAAACGGAAACTGAGACGGATGTTGTAATACTTTATAATGATTTTTGTAAAAATTGTGGTTATTTTTTTTTATAAAATTATATGTGTTTCAAAATCATAACTCAAGCTGTCAATATTTTTTAATATTTTCAAATACTTTAAAAAGATGAATTGCGTTTTTTTATTTTATAAAGCTGCAGGATTATAAAATAATATTGTTCTTTACCAATGATTT